ACAGAAACCAAAAAAACAACAATGACTATACAGGGTGGCCATTTTCTGAATCTTTGTATACTTCTACATTTTTAAAGATAGAGAATCCGGTAAATGGGCAAAATTGGGCAGAATTCGATTGCCTATTCATTACCGTTTTCAAAATTTAGGTACCCGACTTGGTTCCTGAAATATCCTGAAAAGACAAGAAATCAACACTTTTTTAATTATCACTTATTACGTGAACTGCTTAACTTAGAAAAAAGTTAAAACTGCCTTTAGTACAACTTTTTGCGTTGAATCCAATAAACTAGCACTCGTTATCATAGTCAACTTGATTTACGAGATAAAAAATAAACTTATGGTTTTTTAAATGGTAATCATAGTGGGCCTTTTTTAAAAGTTGGCTGGGGGCTTTTTAAAATCCTTATTTTTTTCTGAATTTAACGATATAATTGTTTGCATGTTTTTCTCCTTTTGTTGCCGTAAAACTTCAAAAGAAGATAAAAAATGTGTAGTAGGCTATGGAAACAAGAACCATATTATCACACAAAGCACAAAACAGTAATGAATCGTTTAAATTAAATGTTCAAATTGACTTTACGTTTACTTACTTACTTAAATGTTTACGACCAGGCATTTTTTGGCATCTTCACATTCAACTCATGAGTTGTGTGAAGGTGCATCATGTTGAAAATATGCCAATTTTCGATACGATGCTAACGGAAAATCATTCAACATGTCTTCAAGTTCATTTGGTGAAAAGTGTAAATATCTTTCCATATTTAAATTGTGATTATAAAAGAATGGACCAATCATTTTATCACTAAAAATGCCTCACCAGACATTCACAAAAAAAAACACGTTGATCTCGCCTATTTTCAATTAGATGATGCTTTTCATTAGCCCAGGAAACATGATTGTGTCTGTTAATTATTTAATTTTTGTTTTGTGTGATAAAATAGTTCTTGTTTCCATAGCCTACTACACATTTTTTATCTTCTTTTAAATTTTACGGCAACAAAAGGAGAAAAACATACAAATAGTTATATCGTTAAATTCAGAAGAAAATAAGGATTTTAAAAAGCCCCCAGCCAACTATGATTACCATTTAAAAAAACACAAGTTTATTTTTTATCTCGTAAATCACGCTGACTATTACGAGTGCTAGTTTATTGAATTCAACGCAAAAAGTTCTACCAAAGACAATTTTAACTTTTGTTCTAATTTAAGCAGTTTACGAATTATGTACATGATAATTAAAAAAGTGTTGATTTGCTTTTTCAGGATATTTTAGGAACCAAGTACCTAAATTTTGAAAACGGTAATGAATAGACAATCGAATTCTGCCCAATTTTGCCCATTTAACCGATTCTCTATCTTTAAAAATATAGATACCCATACAAACATTCAGAAAATGACCACCCTGTATATACATATATTGGTCTTAACTTGAGGGAACATTCTTGTTATTTCCTTTTTAAGACGCGATATTTTCCATGACACCGCTAATTGTTGCGAAAAATGATCATAAGTTGATTAAATCGTTCATTTTAACATACCTAAGATAAGAGGTCGCGCGTATTTGTTGATTTAAAGCGTTAAATATTAAATGCTAACTTTGTTTCGAAGTGAGCCTTTTAGAACCATTTCAGTTGCATTATTGACAAAGGCAAAGTGTAAAAATTTATTAATTAAGACGAAAATGACAAGAACTTTAACATCTCTAAGTAGAATCCAATGTGGCAAGGCTTAAATAGAAAACACTTTTTTTGTTTAATTTATTTGCAATTGTTCTCGAAAGTTGATTAAATTCAACTAAACTTTAACAAATAGCAAGTTTTCTAAAAGATGCCTTTAAATGTTCAGGCATACAACATAGTAACATAAGTAAGAAAATGAGAACATAAAAATGATTACTGAAAAGTGAAAATAACTATAAATACTGATTAAATAATTACTCCAGTTCCAAATAATTTACAATAAATTCACATTATCTCGTCATCGAGGCCATTGTTTTAACGAACTTATTTTTGCGCAGTTAAAATAACGCAATTTAATTTAGAATCATCCTGTATTTAAGTATAATAATAATAAATATTTATTCTACAATAAAATACTATTGAATGGCATTATAAAACGGTTTTCTATAATTCTAATAATAAAACGTAGATATAAACACAAAAAGTCTTACGGGCTTTTGTTGTTACAATAATATGCAGACTAGTGTTTGGAACACTAGTGTTGCGCGGAACACAGTTTGGGAACCCCTGGTCTAGATGACCTAATTTTCCTGCAAAAGATTTAAATTCAGAGGCTTGCCCGATAAATCACAGCGTTGCCAATGGATTTTGAAGTAATGGGTTTTTTGCCTAAAAAAAAATTAGTTTTTAATTTGTTTCATTATTTTCGATTTTTTGTAAATGAGCTGTGCAATAGTGTTTATTGAAATTTTACTTTAAAATTGGAACTAGCCTTGGAAGAATTACTTGGTGTTACGTCCGAAGTTCGTTGATTATTATATGTGTCAGTTCCTTCAGTTTTCAGTTTAATAACCCATAGTGAATGCTGTGCGCCATTCGGTTCAAAGTAAAAATTTAAAAAAATTGCTTGTATTTTTTATTTCCGTGGCGACAATTGTTAATTTTTTCAAACAGCAAGTTTTTCTTTACCGTTTTGTGATCATTCTCCAATCGGTAGTGCGATTTTTGCAAAAATACAGATTTTTTCAACTTTGCAATTTTCTGACGTTTTCCTGTCAAACTGCAGCCCATCTTGGTTACTTGGTTTTTTCAATAACGGACAAGAAACTGATAACAACAACAGAAGGTAAGTACTATTTTTCTATTTATTGATCATTTCATAACCATTTTGTTTTAAACAGAAGAACGAGTTTCATTAACTGTCTAGGAATCGAATAATGTATGTAGTTACCTTGAATAACTGTTATACATGACATGTGCATAAATCTAAAACATGTTTAATACAATTGTATAATAATGAAATATCTATTCTCATTAATTCTGATCGGATCACTGGCAAAATAAAATTTTAATTCTAGAGTGAATAACCACACACCTGCAGTTATTAATTTAAGTGTCAACTATGATATAAGTTCAAGTGTCATAAGCCTTAAAAATATTTGAATGTTAATGATTCACTTATTGCGAAAGAATTATAGTTCAACTGAAAAAAGGATTGACTCCGAATGGCAGCATTTTAAGATAGATAGACAGATATGTTTACAAAAACTTATCTGGGTTCTTGGGGGGTGCCTGAGATTAAGTAACCCATTTCAAAATATTTACATATTTTGCTTTCAATTTTTGCATTTCCATTCCAGTCTTCAATCAAATGTTGTAAAATTTTGAAAAACGGAAAATATTGTACATATTGAGTAACAAAACGGTTTCGAAGTTTAGAATAAACATTCCCAACTTAATCCGAAAATTACAATTTTTTTAAAAATTAAAAAAATCAAAGTATTGTGCTATTAGATTGCTGAGATTAATTTTAAAGTCCTAGCAAAATTTATATTTGCTTATGAATGTATTAATGTTCATATTTGCGCAACGTTTGTTCGCTGGTTATTTGCAAAGGCAAGTTGTCAATTAGCGCTTCTAGACACCGCTACGCACAATCGGTGACAAAAAGAACACATTAACTAGGAAAATTCTGCACCTACTTACATAAACAGATCAGCACAAAAATCAAAATAATTACACCCACAATGCCGAACGCGACACCAACTATGAGCTCCCTATTTTCACTGGGTTGAAATGAGGCGAGAGGCTGAAGCCTCTTCTCAGCGACTGTATCTCCACTTTGCGCTACATCTACGTTCATCTCGCGGATTTATCACTGACAATGACAGGATAACATGAGCGAATTTTAACTGAGACGATAACGGAGATAATAAATCGTCCGAACTCGCCAGCAAAAAAAACGATTCTTTTCTCTCAGCGCCGCGTTCCAACGAGCTTTAAACAATTATTTATCAATTTGTGTTATCGTTATCAATAAACAGGTAGAGATGGTGATGTTGCGGATTTGCGCAAATCAGTATTAGCTGAATCCGATTTGTATCATTCGCGTTATGGTACTTGAGATTCCAAATAATACTTACTTTTCACTTCAATTTCTACTTAATATTGTGATTGATAGTTGGAATTTGATTCCGCTAAAATATTTTAATTGTTTTCTGCAATAAACTTGATTCTTATTGTAGACGCGGGCCTCGGTTCGATAGTGTTCATGTTGAGGATTTGGAGATAAGCGGACTTAAGTCCTTAAATCGACCTTACGTAATAAATTATGCCCACTGATGTTTCTAGCTCATAAGTACTTACCTATCTGACGTGATTTTATCGCATGTAAGCACGAATAGTTTGAATTCGATATACAGCGTCGTTTTTCCAAAAAAAACAATTTTAGTTTCATTGAACTTTACATTTCTGTTACATACAGAAGGTTGAAGAGAAAAACATGCAAGTGCAGGTCTCAGGACAAACCCAGCTGATGAGAACTAATCATATACCTCTTTTACAAAGTATATCGAAGGATGGCGGATGTTTCATCGTTCTTGCCATAAAAGAGTAGTCATGGTAATCAAATATCTTAATAAATGATGTACAAACATAGAAAGAAGTGTATTGTAAATATACAAACGAATTGAAGAAAGCAAATTTTTGGTATGTATACAGGGTGTCCCGTAAGCTCATGATCAAAAGGGTACTGCGACCTTAGGACCAAAAGAAGACGATCTGACCTAACTTTTATTAATAAAAAATGTTTGTCTCCCCTGCTATCGATGGTCAAAGTTCTTCAAAAAAATTAGCTTTTTCGAAATATCGGGAGAATGGTACGATGTGTTTTAGTGAAACTCGCTATGAATTTGTTCTTATGTAAGACTCATATTTTGATGAAACTATCGAGTTCAGCCGTTTTGGACAAGTGGTGAATTCTTGAGTGTCGTGGTACAAAAACTACCAGAACTTTTTA